AAACCAATAGAGCACAGCCCAAGCCGGCTTAAATATAAATTACGTGCTTAAAACCTGATCAAAGCAATCGAAGGAGATTCAATATAATTGCAACTAAATTGAGTTTTCTGCCACACGAATAAGTCAACACTTTTGAAGACCCCCATACCTCTTACCGAATTTGGTCTTAGCCACTCGGAACACTCACTCCCCTCTTAGTTAAGCCTATTAAACGCTCCAAACCTAAACGCTTTGTTGTACCGTCTTCGCTTTTGGCATGTCTGGTGTTTATTTGTTTGCCTTTTGTGTTTGTCTCTTTATTTGTAATAAATATGTTTCGGCCATTGAGGGGTAGATCTATGGGGGAGTCTAGAACAACCAAACGACTGAAGTCTTGAAGGTGAGTTATTAATTTCACAAGTTCTGTCTGAGTTTTCCACATTTGTCCGTCGCTTATCGGGTTACATAATTGTCGTCCCATTGTATGGTAGTATGTATATCGGACTGACTCCCCCTCAACATTTATGGAGTGTAATTATCGCGCACACATCGTATATCGTCTTCGATTTGTAGGGTTTCACTTCGTACGGACGGACTATCATCACATCAGCAGGATAACCGGAAAGTCAACCCTCCTCGGACTGGGACTCGCAGTTGTAATTGAGTAATTTCCACTTGAATTTCCCCTTTCAAATGTGTGTATTTTCTTTGCGACTTTGTGTGGGATTTCAACAGATTGGTAACGAAGGACTTCAGCTCTTCAGCTTTCTACAACTAGGTATCTATTTCCGTTTCTCTGTGGTCTCGGCCGGCTTTGGGGGATTTTTGCGGTGGCATTACATTTAATATAAGAGGAATTCCAGTGGTAGGTGGTAGGGGTATGAGTACCCAGAGCTCGTGCTAACAAGTTGAAAAAGGAGCCAAAATCAAGCGTTTCTTGCACTTTCCAGCACGGCCAGCGTGACGCGTGTGAATTTCAATTTGAATTCGAAATTGGTAACAATGATGCGGCCCTTTTCGGTCCCGGGTTGTTTGGCTGGGCGCGGTAGCAGAGCAAATAAAAACTGACAAATAACTGAACTGAAGCGAGTTGTGCCAAGGGTAATAATGATGCTGCACAGACAGCTACAGCTACAGATACAAAGATACAGATACCCGAAAGTCACTCGCACTCGCACCTTGATAGAATTTCAATTACGTCCGGACTACAATAAAAACAAAATCTATTAAATTTCCATCTAATCACAAAAGCAATTAATCATTGTTGCTATTTAGGCGCTTTTTTCAATGCCTATTAGACGGAGGGGTGGAGCTTATGGCAATTGGTGCTTTGTTATGCTGATGTCTCTCCGAGATACAGATACACAAATGAAGATACAAATGCATGTATAAGCCAGGCGACAACCAGGTAATTACAATTCCTTTGGCTTGTATATACAATAATAAGCCACCACCGCGGTCATCGCAGCACAAAGATCATGTGTATAAAAAGATATTGTATCTGCATCCGTGCGCTGGCCGAGCGACATTGAATTATCACATTGCTCTCATCTCATTTTAACATTTTTTTAATATTTTTTTTTTTTTCAATTTTCTGGGGTTGGGTTCAGTTTCTCAGTCGCAGGCAGATTCAGAGCCGAGTTGACAAACTACAAAATAATAATGTGGCATTCATTGTCCGTCAAAGAAAGATGGGGCACCGGGAAGAGGCGATGGGTGAGGGCAAGTTATTGTCATGCAGAGACAAGATATTTACACAATTACTCGTCTCGGATACTGGGGATATTTTCACATACAGATTTTCCATTTTGAATTTACGTACAAAGCTAATTTATCATTTCGTTTCGTCCGGACCGACGAAACTGTAAAAACGGCGTGATGTTTTGTCCCGCTGAATGGCTGCCAATATTTTCCCGTCCGGCACCCCAAATGCATAAGTATTATAACCGCAAAATAAATAACAAATATAACAAACGACCCGACCGGCAATCGGAGCGGTCCAAACCTAAAGTCGAACTTAAAGCAGGAGACGGAGACCCCCGACCCCCGAACCGTCGATTGAAGCTGTCAACGGGTACGCACAATAAAAACCTTTTGTCCAACAACTGCGTGAGATACTTTCGACTGCATGGGATCGGCTGTAGATACACATATGTACCCTGGATAGTATTGGACATGGCCAAGTGCCTAATTATGTGGCCAAGTCAATTTGTTCAGCGTTCGACCCATTCCGACTCTGACTCTGACTCCTCATCCGACTCGTTGCCTCTTTTTGTTTGACTTTTCTCGCTGCGGGCAAACAATAAATGTTTTGTAGTGATTAAAAAGTAGTGTGAAATCGATTATACTTACTCACATTAACCAGACAGGGCCCCTAGCCAACAGCCCCTCAATCCCTGCCTGCTTCTCCTCCGGATTCCTCACTGGACCGGATACATCCGATAGTCGTCACTCGGTTCGGCCAAGTGTCAATATTTGACAGACTTTAGCGATACATGTTAATTCCTGTTAATCGTGGCCAGTCGGTTGTTTTGATCTCCAGACCATGGCATGATATTTGATATTGATAGAGTAGGTTTGGGTCTTACTAATATTTAATTTCTTGGACATTCAAAGGGGATTTTCGTATATAAATATCCGTCACTCTTATGTTAACCCGGTCTAACATTTGTTAACCGGAAGTGGTTTGGTTCTCCTTTTAAATTGAGCTGGACAGTTTCTTAGTATTCTAATATCATTTTAAGTAATATCTTAAGATTTATGTAATAAAACATGGCAATATTGTATTCATTATTTTTTATTTAAATTAAAAAACGCAGTTCTTGAGCTATTGCTTTCGCTCAGAAGAAGCACCAAATGCTATACCGTTTTTATTTATTTCTTTTGTTTTTAAATAAAAACCTTAAGAAATTTATATATTAATTATATCTTTTTTATATCTTAATTATATCTTTTATCTTTACTAATATCTTTACTACTAATTATCTTTACTATATCTTTACTAATATTTTTAAATAAAAAACCAAGCCTTGAAATTCATATTTGAAAAATCAACCTTTCCAAGCTATAAGAAAGGTTTATGTTCAGTTACATAGTTACATAATATGTATTTTTTTTAATACTGGCGGAAAAAACTTGTTGTTTGTTGAAAATATATAGTTCATATTGTTTAACTTTTCTAAGATTTGATTTATTTTATTATATTTTTTGTATAACTTTTGGTAAGATTCAAACATGTGGTGAATTATTTTTAAATTTACATGTAGAACATTAGTAAGATACGTGTAGAATTATATGGTACTGCTACCCAACGGTAGATGGCGCGATGTAATTCTTGAAGTAACTAAAACCTGTGGTCTGTTTTATATATAATTAAATAAGATAATAGTACTACACTTTTTTACTTAAAAACTAACAAATAGAAAGGTTATAACAAAAAAAAACTGTACTGCCAAGATATGGCCTTCACTGTGGCTCATATTGTCCTTCTATGCGGTTTCCCAATTTTTGAAGGGGAATCCCCAGAAAATTTGACGAAAAATCTCAAAAATAATTTCTTCCTAGATTTTTATGGTAATTCATAGAAAATCGATCTACAAATCGTTCAAGACACACCGCTTAAGAATCGGATAAATATTGGCCAAGTTATGGCCTTCACTGTGGCTCATATTGTCCTTCCATGCGGTTTCCCAATTTTTGAAGGGGATCCCCCAGAAAATTTTACAAAAAATCTCAAAAATAATTTCTTTCTAGATTTTGATGAGAATGAATAGAGAATCAATCTACAAATCGTATAAGACACACCGCTTGAGAATCGGATAAATATTGGCCAAATTATGGCCTTCACTGTGGCTCATATTGTCGTCCCATGCGGTTTCCATATTTTTGAAGGGAATCCCCCAAAAAAAAAAATCGAACAAATAATTTCGAGAATCGATCTTAAAATCTTTTTGGCGAAGATATAACCCTCGGGGGTTATGTGAGCTGTATATAGAGGCCCAATAAAAGAAAACGCCTGAATGCATTCATTTTCGAAAGACTTTCGCTGAAAAGTATGCCACACTTTTTATTATTTTTCGACTGAATATTATGTTTTTATAACGGTATCCAAGGTAGCGCCCATTTTTTCTGCTGTTGGCTGATAAAGAAGTATTGTTTATGAATTCCCATAAATTCTGTAAACACCATACAAGTATATGCAGTTTTTCGGTAGTCTGTTCATAGTCCATTATTTTTTGTCAATTGGTCTTATCGCGTAGGAAATACACCCCCAATAAATTGGTATCCAATAACTGATAACGCTCCCCGGCCTCTAATTTAGAGTGGATAAATAGAACCCCTAGAGCGAAGCCCTAAAACACCCACAAGCAATCGAACGCGATCGAATATAGAACCGATCATTGCGTCAATGTGTCGTTGGTATTTGGATATACAGTGCTTTATATAAATCCATATAGATAAAAAAAAACTTACTAGCATGCACTGCTAAAAACAATGGGTTAGTATAGGAATTCGGCGCAATTGAGGTGATCAATTAGAATTGTTGACCAAAAAATATACAAAAGAGATCACAGCCATTCATCATGACCTCCTGTCGCAATAGTTCAGCGTAAATCTGTAGAATCAAAACAAAAACTGAAATAAAAAACCGGCACAAGGGAGTGGAAAATTTTAGAACTCGACTAACCGGATACCATGCAGACACTATGTGATGGATGGCTAAAGTACCCTGGATGTCGGTACGATAAAGGTTTTCTATCATAAGGGAATTGGCAACAAAATAGCGCTACAAATATATATATTTACAAACGAATAAATGGAGGAAACTAAGGCACACGGCACACAGACTACACACTAGCGGCATTATCTAGATTGACGCGCATCGAATATACCCTCGACGTGATTGGGTATCGTGTATAATGGCACTTATGGTTTTTGCTGCCTCGCTTTTATAGCCTGCCTTTTGCGATATTTGATTTTGATGGGCGCTTCGCGGTTTGTTAAACGGCGACAGAGTTTACTCTCAGTCAATCGCAAAACGCATGCAGATACAGATACTCGTACTCGCTCCGCTTTGCTTCGATCCGTCAGATACATACTGTGTGCGTGTACTGTGTGAAGTTGTGCCCGGAATCCGATTCAGGAAAATTACCATTGCAAACGGGAAACACAATTTAAGCGACAACAAAAGCGTAGTTCGGGTCGTTAAAGTAAAAGTGCAAAGAAATGACAATGCAAACCAACACTGATCAACAAAAGCCGGGAAGCGAGGGAGTTGCAACGGGAGGTGGCCGAGGAGGAGCAGCCACTACAATGTCCACTAGTGTTAAACAAAAGTCCAAAAGGTGCGAAATAATTTGCTAATTATTACAAAATTTATTGCGTATAAAAACTATATTTGATTTGACACACTTTCGGTGCCACGTTGCGTATACGTCACGTGTGTGCACAAGTGTTTTGTTGTTGCGGCCGAAAAAAAAAACGAGAAAAAAATATATAAACAGAGAAACTGAAAACTGAAAAAGTGTATTTTTAACCAAATGAGTGAATAAATACAAATAAAAATTCAGAACCCAGCCGCAAGTGTCGTGGATTTGTTTATTTGCTTTGCATTTTTCGCAGCAAGTTTAACCAGTTTTAGAGTTTTTCAGTCAAAGACTCGAAACGGTTAACGAGAAACGCTAGACAAGAATGATGTGTCCATAAATCATGGGAGTCTGGCCTGGGGACCAAAAACCATGAATCGGATATAATGTATTAGCCGAAAGTGGATCGAACACTGTGTCACATGCGCGGGAGTTTTACGATTGCCGTTAGCAAATCGATAAAAATCTAGACATCCGTCGCCTTGCTTCGTGGCACTTCTTTGATTTTGATGCGGTTCCATTGAATTTATTTATTAATCTAGCTTGCCAAATTGCTTCTACCTCGATCGCTGGCATCATTGGTGTAGATAATTTATTATCAAACTTCAAATGAGATCCGCCGGCAGTCGGTCTATGCAAATCGCCAGTCTATCTGTGCGATGAGTGCATATGACCGTGCGCTTACGGTGCGCGTCATAACGCTAAGCATTCGGTGTCAAGTGATATGAATGTCAGGGGCACAAGGAAATCCACCGCCCAAGGCGTCATGGAAATCCAAATCGCGGCAAAGCTTTACGATATTGACGTTCCACTATACCGAGTGATAAATGTTATCTAAAGTGTGTTCAATAAAACGGTTCTTGGATGGCTCATTGGGTAAGTTTTGAAATCACAGCAACCTTGAAGGTAAGTGTTGAACAAAAAACATAAACAATAGCCGGTCTGGGGGCATCAGCTTTCTCTTTCTATTCATAGTTCGCTCTCTCTGTCTAGCTATCAAAAAGGGCGCGCCACTTGAAAGCAATTCAAGTGTTTTTGTTCTCAGATTACTTATAATCTAATTGATTATGGTTTATTTGACATGGATTTTGTCACATGGTGATTCAACTTTAATGACAGGCCACTAATTGATTTGGTAATTGAACAGAATGACTGGGGAATCTCATATTTAAAATAACGTACTAATGTGCGAAATCAACAAAGGTTGGGGATTAAAGGTTCTGTAATCGTTTACAACACAGTGCGTGACTTTTGACTTTCTAAATATAAACCTTAAAACTTTAATTCACACACGTGCGGTGCTTATTTTTTATTTTGCATAAACAATACACAGTATAAGAAATTAGAGGTGCTCATAATAAACCAAATTTTAGATTATTTTAGAAAATATATTTAATCATTTTAAAAATAAACACTAAATGAACTTAGGAGGGCAAATTAATTTAGTTTTGTTTAATTTTTTTTCTGTTTAACTATCAAGATCTTGTATTTAATTATACATACAATTTTGATGAGTAACACAGTTATTATTTAAAAACTTTTGTTTAAAATGAATGAATACGTTGAAGCGTTTCCGGCAATTTTATTTTGGTTAGCAGATAATTTTGTTTTAATTTTTATTACGAAAACATGCGATTATTTTTTATGATTAAATATTTAGGCAAAGAGGACAAACACGGAAACATTTTTCATGTTTATTAAATATATAATATAAACACTGACATTAGATCGTTTCGTTAAATTAAATCCTTTTTTTTTAAATCAATTGTTAAACGAATATTTTTGTTTTTAATTTTTTTGTACCGATATTTTTGGTGAATTAGTAGCTTTTGTGAGTTTTTCCCTAATTTTAAGATCACAAAACTATATTTGATAGTTGGCTTAAGCTCCTACATAGTAACTAGATCTGTGTTATCCATTTTTAGCCATCCCAACTTATTAGTGGCCCCATGATTTAAAGCTAAGCTAATATTTGCGCGCAAAAATTGTGGCTATCGCTATCAGAAAGCTCGCATCACTGGCGTAAACAAGCACACAGCGCCAGCTTCGACAGCGCTGCCAACTGCGCTGTCAACTGCGCTGTCAACTGCGCTGCCTAGTGCCAAGATAAGCACTAAACTTCCAGAGCCGACTGAACTGCTTGCCGCTTTTGACGGCAGCGCTGCGGCTGCCAACAAGAAGCAGCGCTGCTTGATAGTAGCAATAACAATAATACGCCGTGGTGTACGCTGCGCTGCCGGCGTTCAGTCGAATTGGAAGTCGATCGCGGCGCGTATTTTAGCTCCAGGCGCTTTTTTCACTCAATAGCCAACAAACGATCGACCACGACGCAGGTTAGTCTCGACTCTGGTCTTGCCACTGCGCCAGTGCGTATACGTGATTTTTGAGTGCCCATTTCTGCAGTAGTGTGTGTTGTGTGTATGTGGTTTTTAATTAATTAGCAAACTTGTCTTAAAAATTCATTAAAAAGAAAAAAAGTAAAGACACTTGGATACTGAAATTTTCTCCATATAAATGGGTTGCAGTGCGTTGACTGATCACAAATGTTTTTTGCATATCGCGTTTTAAATTTTTTGACCAAATTTATTACAAATTTATACAAACGATTTTTAAATAAAAACAAAAAATTGTGAGTGTCTGTGCGTGTGCGTGTAAATGTTAATTTTATTCAAATATTAAACATTGTCTGGGTCTGGGTTTGGGCTTTCGAGGCATTTATCTTGCCTAACTTTCCATTTCAGTGGGAGACTTATCTAGAATTCTGTAGGGGTCCCAGTCCCAGTCCCAGTCGCAGTCCCGGTCTCAGTCCCGGTCTTGGGTGTCTATATCCCCCATAAAAAAATATATAGTGACTGGCTTTCCACTACCTGAGCGCCACTGGGCTGCCTTTGAATAGTGATCGCTGATCAAACAAGCTCGGAACAATCGAAAACACCTAAGCACATTGCTTGCCCATTAATTAATATCGCTGTTGATTTTTTTATCGACTGCCGCATTATTGACTTATAATTATGTGCATTATTTAGCATTTGAGTGCCTCGATGCACCTGATTATAGCCTCTGGGGCAAGGTGGTGCGGCACGTGGTAAGCAACGATCCCACGATTGCACAACGGCGTAATTAGTTGGATAAAAAATTATAATTAAGCTTTAGCCTTAGCCACGATGGCTGTTTATTTACCATAATAATATTCCTGATCTTCAATTTCTCCGTTTGACATTCATTTAACACTTGTGCTGCAATACTTGCTCTACCTCGAGATGTTTATTTTTAAAAAGTGTGCCAGTCTTTTTTGGTTTTCGTTTTTTTTTTTGGAAAATATTTCCATTGTATGTGCGCATACATTTGTCCAAATGTTCTACTTTAGCTTTTAGCTTTCTTAAACAGCCACAAAATGCCTTCTTTTTGTATTGTTTTTGGTCTTTTTTTTATACTAATTAGACCGAGGCTCGTGCGGGCAGTCTTATCAGAATTATCATTGAAAAATAAGTATGGCAAGTCGATTGGCGGGGTCACTCGATTCAATAAAATATATAGAAAGGCCTGATAAGTAAACAAACGACAACATTCCACGTAAGTTCTAGCGGATCAGACGATTTTGCATAGCGCCAACGTAAAACTTAAATTGATCATTTTGTGATACTTTGGAAGCCCATGGGTTAGGTTCGGAGCACTCGAAAATGGCTATGTACACATGCCAAAGCAATTCTTGTTTGAATTTTTATCTGAGTACTCCCACAATGAGAAAACAAAACCAACAAAACCTTAAAAACCATACATACTTTTTGTTTTTGGTATCTTGAAGGTTAAATATTCCGATAAACGTTTTGGTTTTGTAGTTTTTTTCCTCTTTGGGACTTGAGATCAGCTAAGCGCACATTCTGTGAATGGAAACTAACGAAATCCAGATTTTATATAATCTGACACATGAATTTGATTATGATGTGCCAAAATCAAAATTGATAAATCAATCGACTGACAAATCGCGTGCCCCAGCTATGTATTAGCAACTCTATTAAACGGATTTTGTTACTAATTATAACGTCATCATATGATCTGATATACACGGAACAATTTCCGCAGGCTCTGGCTCAGTTAAAGGCTGGGCCAAAATAGTATGCTAATTGTATTTAACTAATCCAGTTTGGGATCCAACACCACAAGCAGCAAATAACCCTGTGACTTTTCACAGTTGGTTGATGTCATTCAATCCCACACGAAAACCAACAATCTTGTTATATTTGTGCTTGGCAAACCGTAACAAAAATGTGGCTGCCACAAGGAAATGATGTGATTAAGTTAGTTACTCTTGGCACTCTTGATAAGGCCGGGCTCTATTTCGATCTGCGCTGTGCAAAGGTTATCAAGACAAGTCTCAGGCTGTCATTGAGCAAAGTTTAGTTTCGGAATTCTTTGCACACTCTCCTGTTGCATAATTCATGGGCTGGCTTTGGTGTCACTCACTCCTTATCGCCGCTGCACACTTTGGATTATCAGATGAGCTGCATATACACACTTGAACAATAGAAACTGTTAAAAATAGCCAAAGGAATGGGCACTCGAACGGCACATTTTGATTAGAAAACACATCGAACCATAAATTAACGGGAGGAATACTTAGCCTAGGTCAATGTTGAATGGAATAATTTCCAGTTTACTGATAACACTAAAGAGCACCCTCCTGTCTGAAGCCGGCTCATCTAATTATTAACAAAGTGTCTGATCTGGAATGGGCAAATAATTACAAACCTTTCCACCCAATTAATATGAACAATCAGGTTTCAAGTGGGCCAACCTCGTGTCCACTGATAAGTTCCAAATATGACGAACCTTCAGGTGTCTAAGCACCTGACTGTACTGTGTTCTTTTAGATCAGAAACTTATCATAAAAATTAAAAAATAAAAAGCTATTTGGACAGTAGCAGGAAATATTTCTATTATTTAATCTAATTTAATCCCAGACTTTTTTTTACAAAAACATGAATACTTGGAGTACTTTGTCTGAGTACTTCATTTTAAAGTGCTGTCTTGTTAGTGAGATAATCGTGTGAGCCAAAAATTCCATAAATATTGTGACAAAAACCTGTCTGGGCGCCACACTTTATTATATCGTGATCCACGCGACTTGCTTCTAGAACCTCTACTTTTGAATCTTGTATTTTTTGGGGGACGGGCCTTAATCACTGGCCATATACCATACACACCTATAAATTACTTGGCAGAAAGACCATGCACATTGCTTATTTATTTTTCTGAAAGTTGGCGGGGTACAATGCCTTCAACCTAGTTGCGCAATGGATCGTAGCCTACTTGCCTGATAAGCACCAAAGATAAGAACTTAAAAATATATATTATAAGGAATATATAGTATAAATGGAGGCTGGCATGAAACAAGATCAAAAAGTGGGATCTAAAACTTCCGGCTGGAGCATAATTACCAATCCAGATGGCAACAGTCGGCTATCGGTATGCGATATAAAGGGGGGAAAAAAATCCAATAAAACTATGATATTTGTAGACTCACTTCAATCATTATCGGACTTTTGGAATTGCCATAAATGCGGGGCAATGTCAAAAGTCTGACGAGTAAATCCGATTTGAGTTGGCCCAATTATAGGCAAATTAAGCCAGTACAGACACCTCCAATCCCAATTTCCCATCATTGAGTATTTGCCGAGTTGTTCTTATCAGCTTGGCTGACACACAGTGGGCTTTGGTTTATGGTTTTTTGGGTGCCACAAAATTTTAGGGCTAGTCGGCAAATAAAAAAATCACTTCTTAAGCAGGCCAGGTTCACGTATCAGACTTATCGACAGCGATTGATTAACGGGGTTCTTCAAGTCAACAGGTTTTTTTTTTCCTACTTTACGATGAACTTCTGGCTAAACTTTTATGGCTGATAACTCGGCTTCTTAGTCATAATTAACCTTTAATAGCCAACCAAGTGATAAGCAAGCTCTTACCAGAAGCTTTTTTCAAAAAGCTGAATGAGAAACTGGAGCGATCAAAGCTTTTATAAAAGCTCACAGTCCTGCAGGTAACTCTAATCAAAAGCTAAAGCTACTCGCAGAAAAGCTTCACTGAGGACCCTACGGAGATATCACTTATCACTCTGCTAATTAACAGTGCCAACTTCCGGCGCTGAGATACTACGGCTTATATGCCCATTAACACTCCCCGACACGTTCTGCCACTTAGACAAAAAATGTAAATAAATAATCACAATAAAGAGCTATCATCATCAATTAGGGCCGCCGGGCACTGGGTGGTATTGAATATTCGAAAATCGTGGCCCATGCACCTCACCCATGGGTGATACGTGATCCTTCTGGGCATTTGGAAAATATCATGCCATATTTTAAAAATATCATCTTTTATTCCGTGCTTTGGGGCGAGCAGGTGGTAATTAAATTATTGACATTCAGATTCAGAGAAGCGGATCAAATCGGTGTGATTTATTTTTAACATTTTCGGATCCATCGCGTGTTTATTGTTTTGACTTTTGGTCTCTTTGACAATTTTTTTGATGCCAAAACGTGTCGCTCTCTCTCCGTCCTGGCCAACTGTCAATGACTTGGTCAAACATTATCTTCTTGGCCAAAGGCCAAAACGTTTTGGCTTTGATTTGTCTCTAGAGGGCGGTCAAACAGGGGCTAGTAATGGACCTCGGCCGACCTCAAACACCATAAAGAAATTGATAAATAATTAGTAAACTACACCAAAGATCTCTTGGGTTATCTATGGCTCTTCTAAGCTTACACAATAGTTGTGCTTATTTTGAAATATTTTTTTATTATTGCCATTGAGCTGCCGCTCCAATTATTAATTGAGACATTTAATAATACAAATTGCGTGCAATTTGATCGACAGTTGGACCGAGAATTGCCGTGATTTGTTGTTTGCCACATTGCGTAGCACAAATAGCACGCAATGCAACTGGAAGCCGTGATTGCAATTGCAACAATTCAGCTCGCAATTGAATGGGGCTCGGCCGTGGTAATTGATAGGCGGTGGGTTTATTATCAATCGCTTCAAAGAGTTTCAATTGCCAGGTTTCATGTCACGCATTCGCACATCATGGCAATGATCCACAATAATCACAATTATAATTACAATATATCATCGTAAAAAAAAAAACAATAAAAAACAAAGAAACCTATGCCCCTCCCAGATTTAAATCTTTTATCAAGTCATTTCAGATGATCTGTTACTTTTACTTTGTACAGTTTATTAACTATATCTCATACTATATCTTATTGAGGTGTTGAGAGCGGGAGAGAGCATCGCTCCAGAGATTATGGCCAATAAAGAGACAAAATAGCCAAGAGAGCCGCGAACGAGCGCTAAGATGCTTATCAATTCTGGACACTTGACTTTTTTATGCTCGCCCCCCAGTAGGATTTGCTAATTTCTGTTTTTTATGTGTGTCTGTGTGTTACTCTCTCGGGGGCTAAAAATGGGCTTTTGATTTACGCAATATTATATAGATATAGATATAAATATTTGTCTATGGCTACTCCAACGCCTCAGATTGACATTGACTGTCCTGCTAGTCGCTCAGTTTATTTTTCAAATATTTTCTAGCGGTCGGTAAAGGAGAAAGGTTCTGAAAAAAAAATATACAAAGTATTTATAACATAAAACAGATATTTAAGATTGTAGAAAACGTAGAAAAGTGTTAAAAATGAGTGAAACATTTAGAAAAAGGTAAATATTTAACAAAAGAAAAGAACAAAAAGATACGAACAAAAAGATACGAACGAAGAACAAAAAGATAAGAACAAAAGATACAAAAAATAAGTTTAAAAGAGTTCTTGAAAATCTGTGCCTAATCTAAAAAATTGGATTAACAATTTTTGGGAATCTATAAAAAAAAAATTTTCAAGTGGGTGGCCTCCTCCCTGTTAAGAACGACAAAGAGTGCTTCTATGGCCATTCTTGGATTTATTTTTATTTCCTGATTATATACAATAATAATGATTGACATAGAAGTCATGGAAGTACCTTTCATCTAGGTATGATAGTGGTATACACTTAGTACACCCATGCCAGTAACACGCACAATAATCGAACTACTTCAGTCTACTTCTGTTAATCAGGAAGTGTGCATCGTCTGCTCGGTGGCTCATCAATTGTATTGAGTCTCTATCCAATATTAGAAAAGCACAAAGAATCACAATCTGGTTGTCAATGTCTAATTAATTGTATACGGTCTCGACAATGTTAGAAAAGCTCCATAATCAGGAAGTTCAAAAAATCGATGGTATGGAACAAGAATTTCAAGGGGTGAATCCAACACAAGGGATGGAAACCTTAGCTGGAAGTTTTCTGGCCGTAGACTCATCTGTTCCTGAAGGAGGAGAGAACCACACGAGGTATAGAAAAGAAAACAAACAACTTATAATTTTATGCCAAAAGCAGAGTAGTAAGCTAAAATACAAATTGAAAAGCTTAAAGAATCTAAAGATACAAGATATGATTGATGAGTTGTATAACCTTTGCGTGTACGATTGAGACTGCGAGAGCTTGAAAGAGAGAGAAAGGGGTGGTGGTTGGTTGTGTATTTGAATATTTTTGGACAAATATCTAACTTCCTTTGCGCCCTCTTTCAGTTGCTGTAAGGTACTCAAAATGAAGGGATCGACGCTGGACAAAATCTGTGCCTTTCTGGGCGAACTCATCGGCACCGGAATCCTTGTCTTCCTGGGCTGTATCGGTTGCGTCAGCTCGCCTCTGTTTGCCAACAGCCATCTGCAGATTATCCTGAATTTCGGTTTCGCCGTCTTGATTGCCATCCAGTGCATTGGATGTGTTTCCGGTGCCCATATCAATCCTGCCGTGACTGTGGCTGCCTTAATCTACGACATGATCACCTTGAAGATGGCCCTGGTCTACTTTGTGGCCCAGTTGCTGGGTGCATTTATTGGCTACGGACTCCTCAAGCTGCTCTTACCTGCTAATGTAATTGATGTTGGAAATGGTCTTTGTGTGACCAAACCCCACGTGGACGTTACTGTTACCCAGGCCTTTGGAATCGAGTTTGTCATCACCTCCATTCTGATTCTGGTGTGCTGCGGTGTCTGGGATCCTCGCAATGCCAAATTCCACGACTCTGTGCCCATTCGTTTTGGCCTGGCAGTTGCCGGTTTGGCTTGTGCTGCTGTAAGTTCATAGATACATAGTATCCGCTTGAAGTACTACTATATATTTGTTTTTAGGGTCCCTTCACTGGCGCCAGCATGAACCCTGCCAGGTCCTTTGCCCCCGCCCTCTGGAACACTCACTTCGAACACAACTGGATCTATTGGATTGCTCCCTTGACCTCCGCCGCCATCACCGCCTACGCCTACAAGATCGTCCTCCGTCGTGAGGTCGTCCAGGCGGAGACGTCCGCCGATGAGAAGCTGCGGGAGATCCACTAATAACCACCAAAGACATTGCTGTAGGCAAAACACACACAAAGCCTTAACTAATTTACATTTAAGCTAAGATGCCGAATTTTATACTAAATGCATTCATTTTACGATACTAAATATGATTAAGTTCTGCCTTAATTGCTTTCAAATAAAGTACATCGAGATTTATAAAATATTTAAAGATGTTTTATTATATGACAATCTATACTAGTTTGTTTAAAATTTAAAACAGTTCGATTGTCACATGGACAATCCACAAGACAACCATATTACGTCGTCAAAGTTGTTGGAAATATTTTGGCGTTGTAGACCTAAGCCCCCCCTAACAAAAAATTGTACAATATCATTCTTTAATACATAGATATATCATTATATTAATTTCGATTTACTTTAGAATTATTGTATTCGGACCACACCCACTAAAAAGTGTTATCAGTCTGGTGGCTATGATTGGGAGACCCCTTCTAATTCCCCCCTGACACAACCAACTATAGATGGTATACATATTGTATCGAATTATAGTATATTATGGTATTTGGAGTAGACCTATGGACTCGGGGTTTTGTGTATGAAAATATGAAATTCGTGGAAAAACGCATACAAGGGGCTGCCTGCTTATGAAATTCCAGGCTTATTGGCACACGAATCAGGCCAGAACTGGCTAAGAAACTGTGTTGTCCAAGTCTCGGCGACGATAAAAATCTAAGGTGATAAGATTGAGCACAAATCGGCAGTGGCGCTACTTATCAGACCGATAATTACGGCTGAGCAAAGCCCCCCGAAAAATGCCTATTGATGAATTGATCTATCCTAAATGGGTGGACGGGGGCTGCTCATAAAATCTGCAGACGATAATTAGCATTAAGGTTTTATAATTGATATTGATTGATTGCCAGCAATTTGGTGTCTGCTTTTTTGGTTTTCGCATGGGTGGGTGGGTCACTTGCCCAGCTGCCAGATAATTGGGTGGCAGTAGTTCCTTGTTCCCGGAACAGCACAGTTCGGTCATTATGGCACAACAAAAGTCCAAGGAGTCCCAGTTCGATTCCGAATCCTCCGAAAGGTGGCAATTGAGCCCGAAGAGGAGGATAGCCATTGCCTCGTTCTTTGGCGAACTAATGGCCACTGCGATGTTCGTATTCATCGCCTGCATGGGCTGTGTCCAAACCCCACTTCTGAGCAATACCCATTTCCAGAGTGGTCTGACCTTCGGCCTGGCCATCCTCATAGCCATCCAATGCTTTGGCATGGTGTCCGGTGCCCATCTCAATCCGGCCGTCACCTTGGCTGCCTGGATTTGCGGATTCATTGGCTGGGCAAAGGCCTTGGCCTATTTCGTGGCCCAGGCCCTGGGTGCTCTCATTGGCTATGGCCTACTGGTAGCTGTCCTGCCCCAGAATGCCATCAAAGGTGTGGATAATCCGGCCGGAGTTTGTGTCACCGTCCTGGCCACTGGAATCAACGAAGTTCAGGGCGTGTTCATCGAGTTCCTCATCACCTGTTGTCTAGTGATGGTGGCCTGTTCTTTGTGGGATCCTCGAAACAGCAAGTTTCAGGACTCGGTTCCCATGAGATTCGGTCTGGCCGTATCCTGTTTGATCCTAACAGCGGTTAGTTAAACCACTTTTCCAAAAGGGATCTTCAATACTGAAATAATCTCTTCCTTTATAGGGTCTTTTTACGGGCGCCAGTATGAATCCCACTCGGTCTTTGGGTCCAGCGGTTTGGAATAATTCTTGGTCAAGTCATTGGATATATTGGGTGGGTCCTTTGCTGGCAGGAGCAGTCACCTCCCTGGTCTATAAGTACGCCTTTCAGGGAGAGGAAGTAATAGAGTTGGAAAATTCTAATGCCAAAATACGAATGATTGGAGAGGTTGTAGTGCAATAAGTATATGGTTTTGTTAATAAGTTTTTATTGTTAATTTTCTTTAAGTTTTAATAAAAGAATCTGAAATATTAAATATAGAAAACTACTAACTACATTGTAGCATACATTTGGGATGAAACTTTTGGGGGCTCGCATTCGTTCTTTTTTGTTTTTGACTTGCAATAAATAAACAATACCTATTGATCAAGAATTTGATTAAAAAATCTTTAAATTCCTCAAATGCTGATAACTCACACAGCTGAAATAATTTGTTGAGGGCGCTTTTGAATAAATCTTTCTGACGTAAAACACTTTCTTATAAGCAAGCCACTCGAATAAGGCTTAAATCATATCAATCGAATGGTTTATGGCAACAGACTTATCAGTCAGGCGTCAACCCTCTAGGTTGTCTCCGACTTGGACTAGACTAACGACCATAAAATATATGTATGCTACTTGTAAAAAAAAAGGCCCCACGCACTTGACTCAAGTGAATGGAACCGTACACCCGAAAAGAGGTTCGGCAAAAAAAAACTTAAGTAAATACTAGGTATACTTCTATATAGGACGTGGTGCTCTGATAACCGACTTGAGGTGATTAGAAGCTCTGATAATTCCAGTATGAGATTGCCGGCGATTAAGAGGCCAGGCAATAGAGTTAGCAATTCGTACCTGGAGTGCACTCCAGTCCCATTTGAACCACGTTCCCGTTTAGTTTATTCGTCATTGAAATCTCTCACGATCGGAACAAATGGCCACAACTACGAGGTGACTGAATGGAAAAATATTATCTATTTAATAATATAAATTTTGAAGTGATGAAATAAAAATTACTATATATTTTATGGCACAATTCTTAACAATTACTGAAGTGTATTAAATAAAATATTACGATTTTTTGCAGTCGCTCATCCTGCTGGCTCCTTCAGCGACGCCAGTTGGACAATATCTCCATAGTGTTCGCCGAAATGATTGCCACGGCCATGCTGATGTTCCTGGGCTGCATGGGCTGTGTCCAGAATGCCGTGATTATCAACTCCAACTTCCAGGGATCCCTCAATTTCGGGTTCGTAGTCCTCATCTGTATCCAGTGCTTTGGTTGCGTGTGCGGAGCTCACCTGAATCCGGCTGTTACCTTGGCCCAGTATATCTACAACATGATCTCGCTGCCCATGGCTTTGGCCTACTTTGTGGCCCAAATGGTGGGGGCTTTCATCGGCTATGGGTTACTGAAAGCGGTTCTGCCGGACAGTGCTATCTATAGTTCCGACACGCCGAATGGTGTTTGTATTACGGCCCTCAATAGCACTCTGACCAGCTGGCAGGGAGTGACCGTTGAGTTCCTGATCACCTGCGTCCTAATTGCCATTTGCTGTGGCGTCTGGGATCCCAGAAATGCCAAAAATACCGACTCGGTGGCTGTGCGTTTTGGACTGGCTATCTCCTGTCTTTCCCTAACGGCGGTAAGTGTTTTTGAAACTTTTCTCTAAGTTATACCTTTAAAATGTTAATTTTTTCCCTCTCAGGGCCAACTAACTGGAGCAAGCATGAACCCTGCCAGGTCCTTCGCTCCTGCCGTTTGGAATGGAGCCTGGGAGAATCACTGGATCTACTGGGTGGGTCCTATGGCTGGGGCATTAGTATCCTCCCTAATCTACAAGTACGTCTTCCGGTCTCGGGAGGCTGACGATCTCGAGAACGAGGAGACCACATTATCCACAAAACGAAACTCTGAGGCAGACCTCGCATAGAATTAAGAAGCCCACCACTCCCTCCACCTTAAGACCTTAAGACAAGTTTATCGTTTAAGTTGCATGCGGTTTAGTATTTAAGTTGCAAAAAATAAAAGCATAAAAAGTACAATCTACTACTGGCGTCTACATCAATAACCTACTGTAACTGCCATGGACTTATCTGGGAGCGAGATTATTTTAATGCCCCTGCGGCGGAATGCTGCTTATCGGTTATTATTTAATGGTGGATATACACTTGATCAAATAAACCAAACTCAGTAGCTCACATTTATAGAGCCAATGAGATGCTCACGTTTATTGCCACACTTTCTGGGAGATTACACGGTACGACTACATAGCCTTATAATGGAAGCGACAGCGGGGATTTGGGTCTTCCAAGAGTTTGCAGCGTGGCGTAAGCCCATTTCGCCAGAGGAAGGGAACCACAATGGCGGCCACCAGCTGGCCAATTATTTGCATCAATATCTTATCGGGATGGCCTTCAAAAATCGCCGGTATTAGAGTCTTGGTTGGATTCATAAACGCACCGGTTAATTGTCCCTTAAATGAACAAAATTTTAAAAAATTCAATAACTAAAGAGTCAACTTACCCCGGCGAAACCGCAGGCAGCAACCAGAACACCCATACGTATGCTGACCGAATCCAGGAAGCGACCATTTCGCATATCCCAAACAGCGCACCAGCCCAGGAGTAGAGTAGCGGTCAGGAATGACTCAATGGCTACAATTTGAAGGGAGGAGAGGCTGCTCAACGGTTCGACTAAACAAACTGCCGGCTTATTATTATCCAAGATCTCTTTCGGCAGCATAGAGAGCAGCATGAAATAGCCAAAGAATCCTCCAGCCGTCTGGCATATCACATACACGAACATCGTCTCGGAGGCAATGTAGCCCATGAAGTAGCATGAGATTGTGACGCAAGGATTGGCATGGGCTCCAGATACGAAGCCAAAAACGTGCAAGATCACCGTTGTAGCCAGTCCATAATTTATACTAATTTAAAATATAGTACATATATTTAAAATAGTACTTAATTTTATGGAATATAATTACCTGCTCCAAAAGGAACCGCCATTTGCCTTGCTCACCGCATCACCCATGCAACCCAGGAGCATCAATAAGGTCGTGGCACTAAACTCACTCAAAACTCGTATAAAGGCTAACCGGTTCCAAGTCATATTTATCTAATATTCTAAACTCCTAACCTTGATGTGGATGTACTTCACGAACAATTTTATATAAATTTAAAATTATAAAAGATATTAAATGCAATTTTGTGCCTTGTCTGTGCTGTGTTTTCGATCACCTTCTACTAAATTATGAACTACATTTACCAAACATTTTATGAAATGGATTATTGACTTAAAGACTTAGGCTTGCTTAGATTCACACAAATTAATAAAGCCTTTTTCAAGGCCTTGAACAGAAAACCAAAGTAGGCAATTCGAAGTCTATCAATTTTGTGATCAAAATTCTTAAAATTTTAACTTTTGGTAATCGTAATGTTTCGGAGGACTTTAAAATTGATATGTAGCCAAAATTCTATGTCCAGCTCTATTTTTAGGTATGTTTTGATTTCGAAATTGCTTCAATGACAAATATATTGTAAATGTTACAGAAAAAAGGGTAACTTTGACAAAATTGACAAAGGTGGAGATCTTTCTAAAATTGCCGGAGAAACAGCCGGTGTGGATGCATATCATGTTGTACGTTAATTTTTTGAAACAAACTAAGCACTATTTTTATCATTTATGAATTATGGTAATCCATCAAGAAAATCCTTCAAGTTAACAAGGGAAAAGAGGCAAAAATTTTGGAATTGACTGCACAAATCGAGGCTCTTCAAATGAAAATCAAGTCTCTGGAAAAAGCTAAGTCCGCGGAGGCCCGGGCCGCTGCAGCGGAACTACAGGTTATTCTCAAGGATCTTAAAAAGGCTCTCCGAGAATTGAGAATGAGAAATTAATAAAATAAAAAGAATAAAAATATAATCAAAATAAAACCATTTTACATTTGTTTTACATACATTTGACTTTATTTACATGCGTTAACAGTGTGTCCACAGTACGTATACGTGATAAGCGCAAAATTTTCATAGCATACTTAGTGGCTTAATAAAAATTCCCAAAATAACAAAGAAAATGTCTAGCTGCGGCTGATGTTAAGGAATATTTGTGTTTCCTTTCATCAAAATTCAAAATTATTCAAAATCATTTTGGAAGCCCGGTTTTTAGCACGTTTACAAAAATACAACATACTCTGAAAACCCGATAAAATTCCTAAAAAATTAAAATTTTCGTTATAGTTCAAATTTAACCAATTTTTATCGCAAATATGAGCCGGATAATTCGCAGTATTTTGGATCACTTCAGAGGTCCTATAATTCGGTATGTATTTTAAGAATTAAATGCATATTACGGACTTAAATTAAAAGAAAACTATTAGGCGTTATCTAGTTCTATTTCCCGAATATAGTAAAATTCGAAACGAACTGAAGCTGGAGGAATTGCGATGGGTAATGTTCTATATGATTTATAAAAAAACAAAATATATATAATTTTATTAACAGGAACGTGGAATAATGGACGACAGATCGAGGGAACTTAACACTAAACAAAAGCGTGTTGAATATATGCTGACCGATTTGACGCGTTGTATTAGGGGCATGGAGTTCGATTTAAAGGTAAACCCTGACCTCGAGAAGAAGCAGAAAAAAAGCGAAACAGCCGAGGAGGAGCAACAGACGTCGGGGAGCAGTCAAGTGAATTCTGCCCCAGCCGGCGATAAGAAATCACCCAAAGTCGGTGGTTTCAGTGACTAGAAAAAATTCCCCCCAAGTGCTTCCCAGCCAGACTGCGCGGCAGGTGCTCGGCTATATAAAGCCCCATTCCGCCGGAGATGAAATGTCAGACAACGTCACCCATTGCAAAGATGAAGTTCTACGGAATCGCCTGCCTGCTATTGGCCATTTTCGGTTGCCTTTTCGCCACCAGCTTGGCCTCACCATCCCGTCACAGTGGACCAGCACCCACGATCTACAACCCGCCACCACCGCGCCCAGCGCCTCGTCCTTTCTACTACGATTCGCCGATCCCGAGGCTACCGAATCAACCTAGAACCATGTACGCTTAGTTTAGTTGAACAAAAAAAAAATAATAGGAAGTCGGTGTTTTTCAAGTCTTATCAATATTAGAAAACAAAACAAAACAAAAACAAATTAGCTGTATATGCTTTGAAAATTAAAATTTATTGTAAGCCGTTTGGAACAAGAGTTTATAAAAAATGTTTGAAAAAAATGGAATAAAATAAATCAAATATAATTTTAATTTCCTGTCAAGCTGTACTGTAGGCATGAGAAGGAATGGTTTCTCTTAGCCTGTCTTTATCTTGACAAAAATAGTTCCTAATTTGTTTAGAAAAAAAATTGTAGTTTTCTTTATTTCGGAAATGTTGTCGATGACCAGTTTGCTTTCTCAGCCACAGTTTTCTCATTTAACAGCCACATGGAGTTATTTTAGAACTATTATCTCTGCCAGTCGACTCCCGAAGTCGAATTTCTCTAAGCTAAGTCCTTCAAACCGTAAAGGTTCTTACACTTTAAGACCGCTTTTCCTTCGAAGAGATAGAAATATTTCGTTGGGAAACAAGCTAAAGTAAGTATAATTCAAATGAGTTAAGAGTAATGAAATATAAAAATATTTGAAAACCATAGCGATAAATTCTCAGAAAAAGGCCGAGGCGATGAGCTCAATTACTTCCTCAAGCTGGTAAGTAAATCCCTGCTCAAAAAAAAGAATAAAATAGTATTTTCGAAATAGGCTAGAGAACAGCTCTCAAAAATGAGGGCTGATCGTATTAGCGAAATCTCCCAGGATATCGAACATTTGAATGAGGAGATCAATAAATTGGAGAAAAACAGCAACGAAAAATCAAAGGAGTTGAGAGACAAGCTCTTACAGGATATCCAAGATCTGAAAGGACTGCTGGAACAATTCAAAAAAAGCCTCGAACATGACAAGGAGGGCAAGTAAAAGCTGTCATTTTTCAGGCTGGAATATTGGATTTCAAAATTTTTAGTTTGCCTCGTGGCTCGAAAACAAACAGTTTTTCGTAAACAAAATTATACAATTTTTTTTTTTGGAATTTGGTAAAATTCTTAGCTAAATTTTTTATAACACCGTCCTAACAGAACGAGTAAAATGATTTCAGTCGTTGGTCATAATATAATGCGATTATGCCGTCCGAAAATATATTTGATTGCCCAGCTCAATCAAATGAAGTCTCCATTTAGCCCAATGCCCTCTTCAAGAAACATATCGAAACATCTATATGAACGGGGCAAGGCTGAGGAAAATGTTCACTTTCTGAAACTGGTAAGTCTTTTGAAAATCAATTCTTAAGGTTGCTGATTCGATTTTTTGTAGCAAAGAGAACAGCTGAAGGTTCTTCGCCAGAAGATTCTGGACCAAAAGAAATTGGTGACCTCGAAGATCAGCCAGGTGGATGAGAAGATATCATCTTTGGAGAAATCCGAAGAACAAAATAAGCAGATCAAATAAGCATTTCAAACAGAATGGGCAAGAGTCCTATGACTCGATTTTTGACAATAAAGTGTGGCAAATTCTCTTTTTTTTCATATATTTTTTATTTAAAATAATTTGTATCTTTCATTTACACGCTTTACAAAGAAGCCTTCTGCGACAAACCCAACGGGTGGTTTCTTATACGTAAAGTGTACATATTTCATAATGGTACATGGTAACAATTTGTTTTGCAGCGCAAATGGAAAATAAAACGTTAAAATGAACTTTCATTTAATATGGCATTGAAACAAACATATATATTTTTCAGAGGGTTCATATATCATATCAACATAGTCTATACAAAGATAAAAATAAATACAAGTACAAGTACAAATAAAAATCAGAGACAGCTGCCGATTGTAATGCTGCATATATAGTAATAATATATATATATATTGTGGTGTATATATCGATCAAATTAACTTAAGGACTATTAAAAATATTCATTTGTGCTTTCTTATTTCTTCTTTTTTTTACCATACCCTGAGGTATGCTTGAATCAAGTTAGTGGTATAGCAGAGTCAAAAAACATAAGTACAATACATTTGTGGTAGTTGAGCAACTTGGAGAGTGATTTCCGTACAAACTAAAAACTAGAAACTAACTAAACTTGACTTGACTTGGTCAAGTGCTGGTTAGGCCAGAAGAGAGTGTGCAAGTGTGTGTTTCTGTATGTGTCTGTATCTGTGTGAGGTAGGCTGAATGGGCTTTAGTTTATGGCATACTTCCGAGCGCCCCCTGCTCCTCTCTGTGAATAAATGTGAGTCGGGTGGATTCGCTTCTAGCTTTTCATTTTAAATACTGATCATCAAAATGCCAGGAATGTTGTGTAGCATACAACTCGGTGTCACGGTGTCTCGGTGTCTCTGTGTCTGGTGTGTGTGTGTCTGTTGGTATTCTTTCGGTGAATCCTGCTTTCAACTTAATACTACAACTATGGGCTAAACTATAGCCGATCTGCCTGCGAACATGGCGTAGGAGATGGATTTGTTCTTGTAATTTTTTTGTTTGTTCTATAAACTAATGTAACACGAAACATGATAGTGGCTGTATGGGTGCTGCACTGCCTCCTAACTGGGCAGCCGCTTGCTGGCCAGCTCCTGCAGCTTCTGCAGCGCCAGCGTCTTGTTGATCTCCACCAAGTCGCGACTGTGCTTGGCCGCCTGCAACTGCACCTCCAGGATCTTCATGCGCATCATGTGCTCCTTGCTCTGCATTTCCATGAACATGCGCAGTTCAAAGTTGTTCTGGCTGCTGCTGCTATTGTTGCTGTTGCTAGCTACCACGGCGGCTCCATTGCTGCTGGTACTGGCGGCACTGGATCGCTCCAAAGCCTGGCAATCTGATGAATTTGGCAGCGTTGCTGCTGCCAGTGATTGTGGCTGATCCTCGCTACCCAAGACACTGCCACTGCTGGTGCGCTGCCTTTTGGCCAGTGGCTTCATGACATCATCGTCCTCCTCGTTATTGTTGTTGTTGTTGCCGTGCTGATGCTGCAGTGCAGCAGCCTGGTGATGCTGCTGGATGGCGGCAGCGGCCGCAGCTGCTGCAGTCGGAAACTGGCCGGTACGCAGGGCATTGAGGGCCTCCAGCGTGGCGGATATGTTGTTCACACTGAAGTTGCCACCAAAGCAGGACATGTCAGCTCCGCCGGCCATATAGCCTCCGCTGCCACTGGCGTCCAGGGCAGACACGGCGGTGGAAACTGTGGCGGGACTCTCGGCCTCGAGGATGCCGTTCCGGCTGTGATTCGGCGACACACTCAACCGCTCGCCACTGCCTCCATGGATGTCGCTCTGGTTCAGGTGGTGGTTGTTGAAGGTCTCGTTGAAGGTCTCATTGGTCTCCTCCTCCTTGATGTCCACATCGCACAGTTCTTGAGGTGGTGTGCGGCTGCTGCTCGAAAAAAAGGAGTTAAGTTAGTCTTAGATATCTTGATAGTCTTAAATTTCTAACTTACTCATCCATGTCGTGCTCATCGCCATTGAATTTGTAGTCCTCGCGATATTCGAAGCCCTCCTCCAGAGCCAAGGGTATCTTGGAGTAGTCAATACCATCCAGGGCCTCTGATTTGCAGGCCTTCTTGGCCTCCTGCATGAAATCCCAGACCTCGAAGGTAAAAGGCGACGGCTTCTTGCGATCTGCTACCTCGGCTCCGAACCTGGCCAAGCGGTTGTTATAGTCCAGGATCTCATTACGAGTGCAGGCTAAATTAAATAAATATATCATTAGATTATTGTGTTGGTAGAAGTCTTTTGAGAACCCACCTTTCATGCGCCGCCACTGCTCCTTGAGGCGATTGCAAGTGCGATCTGTTCCGAACTGATTGGAAAACTTTTGATGTATGATCTTCCAGGCCTTGTTCTTCACGGCAGTCAGTCCGGCGTCCAGACGCTTGTTCTCTATGATTCGCATATCCTTACGGCACAAGTCTAGCAGATACTTCTTCTCCTGATGATTCCAGTTCTGGGTGCGTTCTCGTTTCTTGTACATGTTCATCGACGGACTGTTCATGTACTGTGTCATTTCTGCGAAGGCGGATATATCGAATTTAGAATGGCACAGATAGGGGGAAAAAAAAGAGAGATCGATTTGCTAAACATACCTGTCTTCAAGTCGACGCCCTCCAGCAAGTTGTGATTGGAATTTTGCCAGTTGGCGGCGATCTTCATAAAAGCCTCCAGATCGTTGGCCGTATACTGTTTGTTGACCTGTAAATGAAGCAAAAATTGAAATAAATTGATAATTTTGAGAATCGCAATGCGAAAGCTTAGTGATTAGTCCGAAAATTACAGGTAAATCTGACTTATAAGCCCCACATCGGATGTCAGGCACTTGAGCATGCAAATCTTGTGCCACATTCCCAACCATACGAAAGTGCTTTTTGGAGACGTACTCGAAAATTCAATGAACCTGATGATGAATTCATAAAAAATCGAACACAATCACAAAGCTAACTTTGCTGTTGTATTTCCATATACTTCAGCCAGATCAATTAAATACAAAGTCAATAAAAAAAAAAAACAAAAGGATTTCGAGCTCCTTACTCCTTTTGTTTTCATTGGAATTATTCCTGGATGATATCTGACTTTGACATGAATGCCACTGCTATGGATGTTGATGTCGATGTCGATGTCGGATGCTGATATAGCTATAGGATGCAGTCACATTAATTGATTTTCAATTAGCAGACAGGCGGACAGATGAGCTGGCCGAGAGGGGTGTGAGCAAAGCAAATGCTTCCAGGCCCTCTCCATAAGAAATGAATATGATTTCGAACAATCGAACAGAAAATGAGTGCCATGAAACGCGTTTTAATTTATAAGCTAAAAACAACCAGCCAGCCAGCTGCCGACATTTTGTTTCAGAAAGTGTCTAAGTATAAGTATTGGTGTTTGAGTGAGACAATCAAGAGCCATATTGACAGCCAATTATATTAAATCAAGTCCGATACCAAAGAAACATGCTCTACAATCGGGTTTTTTAATGAATCTGTTTGAGGGAAATACCCAAGAATAAAATTTTAACTTAAAACATTATCTCCCCGAATGGGATACTCAACTGTACTTTCGATTCTCCCCCCTAAAAATAATATAAACTCTTTCATTGATCGCTCGTTTCCCCCAATCTACACAATCGTCAATCTTAAGTACGTTTTATTGTGCTTTATTTTATTTCAATTTCAATTTTGTTCACTCGCTCGATGGAGGCTCCTCCTCTCCACCCGACGACTACCAAAAACACCCACAAGTCTTGGGTGTAGAAACTGCGCCATGTGTTCAATATTTATACCGTATCTGATTTACAATTTATATATGTGTATATATAGTACATACATAAAGATAAATACACACATGTATTTACATTCGTATTTATCGCATTCGTTAAAAAAATGTCTATGGCAGTCAAAGGAAACTTAGTCATTGGCGAATGGATGTGGCGCGTGCGCTTATTATTATTTTTTGTTCACACTCTTCCTATTTATTTTGATGCGAAAATGTAGACACATTCATATTTATTAACAAACAATTAATTATTGAGGTAATGTTTAAATTTTAGTCATGACTTGACTTCTCTTCTGAGACTCCACAAAACCAAACAGAATTGGGAATGGCGGAGAATCATTCATTTAAATTCGAGTCGAGTCCGGGTTATTTGAAAAGGGTGGGGCTCTACGACCAAGTTAGTCAAAGATGAAGTTTTCTTCAAAGCTTGTCTCTAAAGGGAAGTGGGGAATAAGGATCTCCCATGAAATGCAAATGAAACCAAGCCAAATGACGCACATCATATATTGTTTTTCTGGCACTTTAGTTTTGACACTGACAGACTCACATTCATAAAAATAATCACTCCAATCAATGCGACTTCAAGACTAAGCATTGAAATTAAATAAGCAAACTGGTTTAGATTTTGGGCATTGGTGTGAGTATATGACTCGGTTTTGTTATCTATCTATTTCTGCTTTTGTGGGCAGTTAATATAAAAACGAAAAATAATTACTGAATCTACATGCTTTACTCGAAGTTTAACAATTGTGAACCTACACACGGAGCTATGGAGCCATGGTATGGAGCTACCAAGCCAATGGAGCAACAAAAGTCAACCTTGTGCCTTAAAATAAAGCAAGGCATTGTTAGCCGGTTGCCCACAACCAGAAATATATGGACTTATAGACCAGAAGCCATCATGCCCGATATAAGTACGTATTCCGAAACGGAATCCAATGCCCAAGCAGGCGTCTCTGGGTTTGGGTAATTACTACAAATTAACAAACAACTTACAATGTGCGAGTATTCTGCGGCATGCCTTAGTCAGCTCAACTATTTTTGTCATCAAGTGGCCACTGGCAACTGGCAGCGTTATAGTTCAAAGTAAAAATGGTAATGTTTAGTGGTAAAGGGTAGGGTACAGTTAATGTGGGGAATACGGGGAATAAGTGGAGCGAGCACACATTATTCTCATTATTATTGTAGGTAGTAAGTAGTCGGGTACACTGCCCTGTCTCTATAAATCTAAATCAGAATCCGAAACCCAAAGAATCG